CTTCTTCTTTTCTCCGGTGGTTTACGTTGACGATTGACTACTTCAATTCTAAACGGAGCAAGCAAATCTCTCTTGACGAATTCAGCTATTGAGATTTTAAATTTCCTCTATTGATCGTCTGTTTTTGTTTATTTCTGTATTCAATGACGGGATTTGGTTAAACGAAGAAGATTCATTTCTCTGTTGTTCGATCGCATCTGTAATTTTTTTTGCCAAGGTTTTGATTTCAGAGTGAGATTTTAACGAAATGCCTCACCGGACTACTTACTTCTTCCCGCGGCAGTTTCCTGATCGTGGATTCGATTCATTGTCGCTTAAGAATGATCACGAGAAGATATCGTCTTCCAACGTTAGTGAGAATTTTGGATTTCAAAGAGAGAATAAATCTAATGGAGTCAGCGAAGATTCGAATAAGGACAAGGAGACGACTGTGTTCTCCTCTAATTCTCTGCTTTCTAAAAGCTCCGCCGTTTCAGATCTCTTTAGCGGTGGCGTTGATGATCGCAAGTCGGAGAAGAAGCATCAGCAGCAACTTGCGGCTTTCTATGACTGGTTGGCGGAGAAGAAGGCTAATCTCTCTAGGTCTTCTTCTACTACTGCTCATGGACGCGCCGTGAAGCCCACGCGCTTCTCTATGTCGAGTGACGCCGATGAGGAGAGAGAGCATCTTTTGTTGTCTCCGGCTGATCCGGCTCCGCTTCCTGCTACGTCTTCGCCGGATTCTGTCATCGCGGCGTCTTCTTCTTCGGCTCGAACGGTTAACATCAATGAACGAAACATTGACCGGGGCTTTGACAGGGAAGTTTCCCTTCCCCGAATGTCGAGTGAGAGCAGCTTCGCTGGAAGTTTCTTCTCCGGGACGACGGTGGACGGGAATTTCTCCAATTTCTCAAGTCATACGGACGCAAGGGAAACTTCGACCACCACGCGTGTCTCTGTCACCAAGGACGAAGAAGAAGTTGAGGTTAGAGAAGAGGGCAAAGAGCAAAGCTTAGCGCAGAAATCAAAAGAAGGCTATTACTTGCAAGTCACGCTTGTTAAGAGGCTAAGTTCTCAAGCAAACCTAGCCTGTGAATCTGTTCATATACAGAGCACAGAAACTGTCTCCTACCGTTTTTGGGTATGAAGTCGTATATATGTTCTTTTAACTTGTCTCTCAAATCTTTATTTAGCTCGAATTGTTGATTTTAGTTTTCTCCATTTTGTTTCAGGTAAGTGGTTGTTTATCATACAATGACAAGATATCAGATGGATTTTACAGTATACTAGGGATGGATCCGTATCTTTGGTTGATGTGTAACAATTCGGAGGAAGGAAAACGAATTCCTTCTCTTTTGTTACTAAAGGAAACTGAGCCGAATGATACATCATTGGAAGTGGTTTTGATAGACAGACGTGAGGACTCACGTCTTAAAGAACTAGAGGACAAGGCACATGAGCTGTATTGTTCTTCAGACAACATGTTAGTGCTCGTGGAGAAACTTGGCAGACTTGTTGCCGTTTATATGGGGTACACTTTTTGTTCCTATTTTTTTAGTTTTCTTCATAGTTGTGCATATATAAGATGTGTGTGCTGAGGTTATAAAGCTTTTAGGGGGAATTTCCAGGTGGAGCAAGGTGATCTTCAGAAACGATGGAAACTGGTTAGCAATAGACTCAAGGAATTTCGGAAATGTATCATTCTTCCTATAGGTAGTCTAACAATGGGCCTTTGCCGGCATCGTGCCATCCTATTTAAGGTGAGCCATGGACTTACATAGTAATAGAGAAAGCTAGACTATATTAAACAAGAAAAATTTGTCTAAAATATTGGACGTTGACTTGCTTATCATGAATATGCAGAAATTGGCTGACTACATAGGTTTACCATGTCGGATAGCTCGAGGTTGCAGGTACTGTAGAGAGAGCCACCAATCTTCTTGCCTTGTCAAGATTGACGATGATAGGAAGCTTTCAAGGTTTGATAGCGCTAAAGCTTTTAAGCCTCCCCATTTGCCATTTTTTGTTTCCATCTATGTCTACTTAACTACAGCCAGATTGCTCAGTGGGTTTACATAAGTAGACTCTCAGGTTGTTAGCAAAACACTATTTGATGCCTCCACCAATGGACTTTCAGGGCATGGTATTTAGGAAGTTCCTACCTGCTCCTATTTAAAACACGTATTGATACTTTATGTTTTACTTGTGTATGTCCTTGATTCTGTGCTTACAAATAGTTGAAAGCTCTGGAGTACCATTGAGTTGTTTTGAGCTTATGTTTCACATTTTGAGTAATACTTGATATTCTTTCTCAACAGGGAATATGTAGTTGACCTCATCGGGGAACCAGGAAATGTCCATGATCCGGATTCCTCTATCAACGGTGAAACACAGTGTCAGATTCCTTCACCCCTTCAAATGAGTCATCTTACAGATTTTTCCAGGCCTTGCGTGCATAGTACATCTCCTTGTCATACTGTAGAGTCAAAGGCTTCACGCGCTCTTTCTGAAAACATTCAACGTTCAGGTAGGCTGCACTTAGCATAATATGTAATACAATTATCATACAAATTGTCGGTATATAGTTGAGGTAAAGATGGAAGAAGTTTTTAATACAATCTGCTGACTGAATTCTTCTAGGGAGTCAAGGCCATGTACACAAAGAATTTGAGTTGCCTGATAATGCAGCGACAATATGTTGTGCTCATGTTGATCAAACTTGCTGCGCAAAAGCATCATCAATGGTTTTGCCAGAATCTGTTCTTCGAGCTCTACCACTTAATATACCAAACCTCAGTGAAGACAAGATTCAACCACAAGAAACCTCCAAAGAAGAAACCGTTTTATTAGAAGATCCAATTGAAAAAATAGCTATCAAGCAGCCAAACTTATCAGTTGAACCAGAGATAGTAGAGGCTGACACTCGAAAAGATAAAAAAGGAAGGTTACCTGTTGACGCTGTCTCGCCTTACTTGACTATTGAGCCTTCTTTGGCATCAGATTGGCTGGAGGTCTCATGGAATGAATTGCATATCAAAGAGCGTGTGGGTGCTGGTATGTCCTATGATTGTACAAAAGAGTTTCTGATGTAGCACCATAATAAAAAAGTCTCTTGAGAGATTTTTGTAAAATTTTCTCTACATTTTTTCCAGGATCATTTGGAACTGTTCATCGTGCTGAGTGGCATGGATCAGTAGGTTTCAACTCTAAAACATTTCATCATTTAACCTTGGAGTAGATTTTTCAGCACAAGATGCTAATTACGTTTTTGTTTATGGTGAAGGATGTTGCTGTCAAGATTTTGTCTATTCAAGATTTCCATGATGACCAATTCAGAGAATTTCTCAGAGAGGTATGTAAGCAAGTGGTTTTCTCTCTTTTAAACTATCTTCATGTGATCACTTGGAACCACTCTGAAATATCCTGTGATTTTGATTGAAGGTTGCAATAATGAAACGTGTTCGTCACCCAAATGTTGTTCTCTTCATGGGTGCTGTGACAGAGCGACCCCGGTTATCAATAATAACAGAATATTTGCCAAGGTAAACCTCCATCTACATAGTTTTTTTTTTTTTCTTTGAACGCTTACAGTACCAAGTAGCTTATGTTTCCATCTTAATCCTTGAGACAGGGGCAGTCTTTTTCGCCTTATCCATAGGCCAGCTTCTGGGGAGTTGCTAGATCAGAGGAGGAGACTACGTATGGCATTGGATGTGGTTTGTGGTCTTTCCCATTATGTTAATGTTTTGATATATTTCTAAGTTTAACATATATAAAAAAGAATGTTTGTTTTTTCTTGGAACAGGCCAAGGGGCTCAACTACCTACACTGTCTTAATCCTCCTGTAGTGCATTGGGACCTGAAATCTCCAAATCTACTGGTTGATAAGAACTGGACAGTGAAGGTAATGATGTTAAACCAAAAAAAAAAAACACTGTATTGATACAAAAGCCTCCCATCGTCTGTTTCTGTAACATATCAAACTTGACCTTGCTCCTGTCTCAGGTTTGCGATTTTGGACTTTCAAGATTCAAGGCAAACACTTTCATACCATCAAAATCTGTTGCAGGAACAGTAAGCTTTCTTAAGATTTAATTACTGTGGATATGGAAGAATATGTTCTGACATGTCAAACTTCGTCTCTTTGGTCTGTTTTAACAGCCTGAGTGGATGGCTCCAGAGTTTCTTAGAGGGGAGCCAACAAACGAGAAATCAGATGTTTACAGTTTTGGAGTAGTTCTATGGGAGTTGATTACTTTGCAACAGCCTTGGGATGGACTCAGTCCTGCTCAGGTAACCAACATTCTCTCCCTTCTTCAAAATAACATATGATTCTTCAAAACTGGTGTTCACACATGAGTTATAGTAATACCAGTTTTAGTTATAATATATCTTGGTCTGGTGATTAGGTGGTTGGAGCAGTTGCGTTCCAGAACAGGCGGCTTATAATTCCTCCCAATACCTCTCCGGTTTTGGTATCTCTAATGGAAGCTTGCTGGGCAGATGAGCCGGCTCAGCGGCCAGCATTTAGCGGCATAGTGAACACATTGAAGAAGCTATTAAAGTCTCCAGTGCAGCTGATCCAGATGGGTGGAGACAAAGGGGTAATTCCAACTAAATGAGCTCCCATTCTATAGTTAAAATACTTAACTTTTACGGTACTAACAGAAACACTGTAGGTGCTTTGCGTTGATTAGCTCCTGAATTTGATTTTAAATTAGAAAAATCAATGAGACGAGAGGCCTTGCCTGGAAGAATGGAAGGCTTTTTTTTTTTCTTTTTTCTTTTTTTTGGTTTTTGTTTGTATAGTATAGTTTTTATATGCTCTTACTTGCGAGACTATGAATAAAGAAAAATTATGAGATTTGGTTTCTTGCGGTTGGAGACCGTTGCATTTGTTGTAAATTTGCAATCCTTGTATGTTGTTGTATGTCATCAAAAGTTGATTGGTAAAACAAAAGGAACAGAGAAAACAAAAATCTTAACATGTTGCTAATTTGTGTACATTCGGTTTCAAAATGTTATCGAATCAAAACCTAAATTTATTTGGGTAGATTCAGTTTGAACAAAAAGATTCAGACTTCTAGAAAATATCAACCAAAATTTGGGTAAATAAAGGTGCACAGTCAATTGTGTAAGGTCATCAATAAGATTGTTAAGACATGTATCACAACAACAAACATCATCAAGAGAACCCAAATTGCTTTGGGGATTTGATGATCTAAAAATAGAGTAAACAAAAACTTGGCCTATGATCTAATTCCCAAGTTTCTGGCCATCGAGCCATACAAGCTTTGGCACAACCTGGAGGACAAAAGAGCTGAATTCGTCCCCTGAAATTTCATTTCCTGCTATATCTAACTGTTTCAGATTCAAATCTCTTAGGACGAAATACGCATCCCAGTATTTGGTGACCAACCCAGGATTCTGTCTTCCTACACCATCCTGACTCCACTCTGAATTAGAGAGCGGTGAAGAACAAAGGTACCGGGTTGTGTCCACTGAGTGCTTGCCAATGTGGTTGTGTGAAACATCCAACACTTTCAGCTGCTTCACATGTCTTAGAGAGTCCAGCGCTGAAAAACTCCGGATTCTGTTGTGACTCAGATTTAGGCAACAGAGAAGTTGCATTGCCTCTAATCCTGCAAGACCCACATACACCATTTAGTCACATCTACCACACAGATGCAACAACTGAAATCGAGAAACTTACCTTCAGTTGAATGAAGCTCATTGTGACTTAGGTCTAACATTTGGACAAACAGCAACTTCTTAACAGAGGCTATCCGAGATAGTGATAAGTTATTCAGCCGTAGACATACAAGATTGTTCATACCCCTATATCGAAAGAGGTGTCTTGACAAGGATTCACTGCTTGAAGTCACCTGCATTAACATTCTCTTTATGAGTAGTAGGCATGGTGAAACAGAATTAAGAAAAAAATCTAGAATCAAAAAATCAACCTTATACTGTAAACGAGAATTGGGGAAAATCATAAATCCGATGAAATTTTTAAGAGCAGAAGTTCAACTTGAGATTCACAGCAAAAAGGAAGGCTAAGTACCTTGTGGAGAAAAGCTACGCTGTGCTCATCCTTGTAGTACTGGTAATGTGAAGAATCCAGCGCCATCAACTCGTTATACAGCTGGAGGATTTCTTCATAGCGAACACCCTTAACAGCATCATCCGATACCATAACTTCACGAGCCATCAAAAGCCTTGCAAGAGTGAGCTTTCCAATTTTGCTATAAAGGAAAAAAGAACACAACGTTTAAGACTGCAATTTCTCTTTCCAATCAAAGAGAGAAAGTACATAGGATATACCTGTCAGCCAGTATACCGAAACATTCAACCTCAGAATCTATAGCTTCCTGACGCCATTCAAAATCTATCTCAGCCTCTAACCGATCCAAGGTGACAAGAGATTTCAAATCCTTTGACTTCGCATCCCAAATATCAAAACCATCTGTCCATGAAACAATGCCTTCTTGAGAATCTTCGACGGTATCATGAACATGGGCTGTAAAGACAAACTCGTAAGGTGCGCTGAAGTTATATCCTCTGGAAGAAATGATTCCTGGAGAGTTCCCAACTCTGATCTTCACTTTGTATTCGCAAGGATCTGAACTGACATATTTCAGATGAGTAACCCATACACAGGACACCTGAGAATTTTTATTCGAAATCGGTTCCCAAACCAGGTCCTCGTTTCCTTTTAGTTCAGAATCAATTGTAACAGTAGATGAGCTTACTCCACCAACAGCTTGGTCAGAGTAGAGAATCAGTGGAAAAGAACCCGACTCAGAACAAAAAGTAGTGAACTTAGAAGAAGAGCTATTCAAGCACCCAGCTCCAGATAGAATGATAGTTGAACCATGGGAAGGCCATGCAGAAGTGAGAAGAGGAGTCTCCACATTAAGAGTTTGATCAAGAAGCCAAAGATGATAAAACCAGCCACTTTGGTCATCTGGGTCCGTAAAAATAGCTGAATGTACAAAGTCATATTCATCAGGAATCTTTTCATTTGGCATAAACCCATCAGCATTTTGTGCAAGCAAACTTGATAGAAGTACACTGCAGAATTTGAACAATAAACAAAGACATATTGTTAGTTAATGGAGCCACTGATTCAGACATTTTTTTTTCAACGATTCAGACATTTAAATATGCTGATGTGCGGTTAAACTCCTTTGCGATGTAACGATGTTGACTGAATCTAGAAGGTATAGCTTAACTAAACCTTAGCTTTTGTTAATATTTTTTAAATATGTAGTGCTGATATCAACCAAATAGTAAAGAAGCCATACAACCCAAAAATGAATAAGTTCCATAGAAGAAAACTTCTTATAGTTCATGAGCAAATTGCATCCCTCCATGAATGACCTCCCATTTAGTACTATTAATTACTTTGGTTCGGGTCACGTGCCTATCAATCTAGTCCACAAATGCTTCCGTTTCTTAAAAAAAAAAGCAAAAAAGTATTTCTGAACATGTAAATCAGCAAAGTATACAGATAATATTTACTAAAGAATATACATACCTACGATTATGCCATGCAGAATAGTTGCTGAAATTGTTATTGATCATATCATCTGTATACTGCAACTCATCCTGTTCTGACCTCTTGGTTAGCTCTACAACAAACCTGGAAAGGGACAACACATAAATATGCAAACTTGATTAACATACACAATGCATGCGCCTTACAAAAAGTGTTGACATTCCCTAATTTTCACCTGCGATAGTTCCAAGCATGAAAATTTCTGGAATCCAGCCTCTGGAATTTATCCAAAAGTTTCAATTCATTCCCTATGGAGGAATGCCCTTTACTCAAAACCCACTTTCGATGATGCCACGCACCATATGACTTGAAATTCTGCCTCAAAGCATTTTCTACCTGAACATAGAACCGAATTCACAGTAATCACTACGTTCCATAAAGAGCAAATTTGTTTCTTTTATTCTTTTTATTGACAGGAAAACTCACCACTCTGAGTTCTTCATCAAAAATTGAGTTGACCAAGTTTGGATCAGACTCAATTCTGGAAAGGGTATCCTCCACAGCAAGCTTCCGGTAGTTCCAAGCCGTGTACGCCTCTGGATTGATTTCGAGAAGCTTCGTACTTAACTCAATAGCTTCCTTGGTATAACTACAAAACAAAAATCCCAGAACATCCATGAATCAACAGATGATTAGTAAATCAACAACGGATCCTGTAAATCGTACTAAAATTCTGGAAAAAAACTAAACTGATCCGATGGAAATGAAAGAGAAGATTGTACATTTTATCGTGATGATTCGTCATAAACTGAGACTGGAGAGACCGAAGCTTAACCGCTTTAGCAGCTGAAGCTGCTTCCTCTTCTGGCTTAGAAGCCTTCCTTGGACGACCGTGCATTCTTCTCCGACGAATGTGAGAGATGCGAGAGTGTTAAATCTGATCAGAAATTCCGAATACAGTTAAGACAAAACACTAGATCGATCGGGGAAAGAAAAAGCGTGATCGAGGAGAAGAAGAAGTAGATCACCTGAATGGAGCACGTTGCGGCGTCGATCGAGAGAGAGTTTTGCTTTCGTCGCAGGTTCTATTGGAAAAATTTCCGGGTCGGTTTAACGATTTCAATCGCTGTAAACCGGGTTTAATTGAAAAATACTGTCGAACACAAACCGGGTTTTGGAAGGTTTCGTTTACGTAGTTAAGGCTTTTGTCATCATCGTTGTTTCACTTCAGGGTTTTTATTCGACTTTTGGCGACGAGAAAGTGAAGATTTTTGGGGAAGATCGTACCTTGTGAAGGTTAGCATCACTCGTAATTTTAGTTTCCCAATTTGGGTATCCGATAATTTTTAGAATTTTTGGGGTTTAGGGTCAGATTGTTCGCATCACTCATCTTTTGGATTTGATGGATTGTTTTCTATGATTCCTTGTGATCTTGTGTAGTTGATTTAGCTGAATCACAATGGAAGATTCAGAGAAGAGAAAACAAATGTTAAAAGCAATGCGAATGGAAGCTGCTGCACAGAATGATAATGATGATTCTACTACAGATCCTGAAACATCTATGAACACAGGTCACCTCTCCAATCCCTTGGCAGAGACTTCCACCCAACACCAGGATTCATTTGAAACATCAAGGTTTGATTATTATACCGACCCCATGTCTGCTTATTCTAGTTTCAAGAAAATCAAGACCCCTAAGCAACAATACATCTCATCTCCTAGTCATCAAGCAAGCTCTCCTGTCCCGCCACAGTTTCCTCCATCAGTTCCTCCAGGTACTTGTTTCTGCCTTGATAGTCAATGATTCTGTCTTAATTTTCATTTTCACAATATCCATGTGAGGCCAAAGAAAGTAGTTCACTGATAAAGAATATTGCCTAATACCTTATAGTGTATTAGCATGTTAGTTGGTCCTTGGTGAGTATAAGTATAGGATTGAACAGATTCAGGAATTAACTTTTGGTACTTGGTTGTTGGGCTTTCCCAGAGTCAGGTGATCTCTTCAACAAATATGTAGGATATTTCGTTCTTTGTTTGGGTTTAGTCATGTCTCCTTGACTATAATCGACAAATCAAGATCAATGAAGGAAGAAATTTGCCTCTGTTCAGCAGGGATTAGGCTCCGAACTTATTAGCTTTAGCTACCTTAATTTGATATATCTCTTTATGTTTCACTTTCTTGGAATTGGCAGTATTATAATCACAAATTCGTTTATGTTTGTGTCCTGCGTCTTGCAATGAACAGTAATCCAGTTCTGATCCTTGCATTATATATAATTTTGAACAGGGTCGTTAGGTAGTGAGTATCAGGCACATACCAATCATGGTGGCTTTCAAGCAGCTCATTATGAACCAAGAGGGATGTCACATCTTTCACCCCCATACAGAGGTTCACCCGCCAGTTGGAATAACAATTTTAGGCCTCCACCAGTCAACCATCCAGGTCCACCTCAATGGGTACCTCGCCCTTTTCCATTTTCTCAAGAAATTCCGAACATGGGGAATAATAGATTTGGTGATCGAGGCAGCTACAACAATACTGCTCCACATTTTTCCAATTATGGACGACAAAATGCAAACTGGGTTGGAAACACATATCCTAACTCAGGAAGAGGCGGAGGTCGAGGACGCGGTATGAACACAAGCTTTGGTAGAGATGGAGGAAGAAGACCCACGGAACTAGGGGCAGAACGATATTACTCCAATTCCATGGCTGATGATCCATGGAAGTATCTTAAGCCAGTCATATGGAAGAGTTGCTCAGATGCTTCGAGCAGCAACTCAACAGGTCAAGCCTGGCTTCCCAATTCTACAGCACCAAAAAAATCTGTGACCTCAGAAGCTACCCACAAACCTAGCAATAATCAGCAGAGCCTTGCTGAGTACCTCGCGGCATCTCTAGATGAGGCTACATGCGATGAGTCAAGCAGTTGATCAGGACAATTGGCCTCGTGATATACACCAAATCCAAGCATCTGGAGTACGATCAGGATATCCGGAAAGATCATTGATTACAATTTCAAACTACAATGACTAGTGTTTATTTTCTTAACAAGACAACAGCGAGTGATGATCATCTTGGAGGGCCAGATTACTAGTAGAATGGTTGCCAGTAGAGGTGTTCTCCACTAAAATATTTAGTGTTTTTTTTTTTTTGTCTCAAGATTTAGTTATTCTACAATTTTGTAGAATCATTATCAGGAAAATTTGTTTCGTGATTGTGTTTGAGATGGAAATGAACCGCATTCATATTTATATCATTTTGGCCGGTAGAAACATTAATGTTACCAGGAAACCGAATCTGTTTTCATTTTGATGAGCTGTCACTAAACTAAAAAAAGAGAGATTCATGTAACTTTTTAAGTAAAAGTAATATGACAGTATGTTGTGAATCCGAATTGAACAATTCTAGTTGGCTACGACACGTACATGTGCGTTTATTGCTTGAAGCCAATAGGACAAGGTGGATGTAATAAAGGGTGCTTGTTGTTGGATGGATCTGAATCTGATCACTCAACTGTCCAACCCTATAGTTGCTAAACACCCAAATCCCACCTACATTTAATGTTGTCGTCACCGAAACTGTTGTCTCAACTGTCCTAAACCAGTGATACCCATAACTATTCTGAACTCAACTTTCTTTCCAAACTCAATTCTTATATAACACATCCCATTTAAGCCTATAAGCTACACATATCAGCTCCCTCAGAAAGAAAAAATGGAGAGAAGCCCAGTGACCAGTGTCAGGCTATCTTCGGTGGTGCCTGCTTCTGTGGTAGGCGAGAACAAGCCACGACTGTTCACACCCATGGACTTAGCCATGAAGCTCCACTACGTCCGAGCTGTCTACTTCTTCAAGGGTATACGTGACTTCACCGTCGCCGACTTGAAGAACACCATGTTTACTATACTCCAGTCTTATCACCACGTCTCAGGTCGGATCCGGATGTCCGACAACGATCCTTCAGCTCCTGCCATACCTTACATTCGCTGCAACGACAGTGGCATGCGCATCGTCGAGGCCAACGTCGAAGAGTTCACAGTGGAGAAGTGGCTCGACTTGGACGACCGTTCCATTGACCACCGGTTCCTTGTCTACGATCACGTTCTTGGTCCTGATCTTACCTTCTCTCCACTTGTTTTCGTCCAGGTACATACATACACAAATTTTAGTTTAATGGATCATTGAAGTTCACATGCAGGAGAATATATAATAAGCAAATCTTTCGTAGTTACTATCAAACATTCATTTCAAATTCTTTCAATTATGAAATGAATAATTAATATAATTGTGGAACTTGAGGAAAAAAATCTCTTTTACACGTGAAATTGATTCTTTGCTATATAATCAGGCTAGAAGTTGTTTTTTGCATTTTTTTGTTGTTCATATCAAGCTAAACTATGATTGAATGCGTAGGACTCACTTAAAATGCTCCCCCTCAATATTTTTCCTTTGAAATTCGTTTTACAGATAACTCAGTTTAAATGTGGTGGTCTCTCTATTGGGTTGAGTTGGGCCCATGTTCTAGGAGATTTATTTTCAGCAGCAACTTTCATGAAAACACTTGGACAGCTGATGTCGGGTCATGGCCCAACAAAACTGGTTTACCCGGAAACCCCCGAACTGACCTCTCATGCTCATAATGGTGAAGCTATTTCCATTGAAAAGATAGAATCGGTTGGTCAGTATTGGTTACTTACCAATAAATGCAAGATGGGGAGATACATTTTTAATTTTAGCCTCAACCAAATTGATCGTTTGATGGCCAAGTACACCACGCGAGACCAACCTTTCTCGGAGGTTGATATTTTGTATGCATTGATATGGAAGGCCCTACTGAATATCCGCGGCAAAACAAACACAAATGTTATAACAATTTGTGACCGTAACAAATCTTCAACCTGTTGGAATGACGACTTGGTAATAAGCGTAGTGGAAAAGAATGACGAAATGATTGGGATATCCGAACTAGCTGCACTGATTGCCGGTGGAAAAAGAGAAGAAAACGGTGTGATCAAGAGGATGATAGAAGAAGATAAAGGGTCTTCAGATTTTATCACGTACGGTGCAAATTTAACGTTTGTGAATCTTGACATGATCGATATGTATGAAATTGAGATCAAAGGGGGGAAGCCAGATTTCGTAAACTACACGATTCATGGGGTTGGGGACAAAGGTGTTGTTTTGGTTTATCCCAAGCAAAACTTTGCAAGGATTGTAAGTGTAGTGATGCCTGAAGAAGACCTTGCAAAACTCAAGGAGGAGGTGACTAATATGATTATGTAACTTTGTTGTATCTTGTTCTTGTGGTGCAACTACTATTCATAAATGCTGCTATTTGATCTTTGTAATTTCATTTGCATATTCGATTCTCTTTGACCCTTCTTGTACCGGTGATGGTTTTCATTATCGAATTGTTAGTGTTATGATTGATTATTTACTTTTCCTGTCACTTTATTATCGCATCAAACCATCGATCCAAAGCTTACAATGTGATGGATTCTTCTATTTTCTACTCCTTATAATAAAGTTTACAACTATCAAGATTGGATCATTTGTCCCATTGGGTCCTCCGATAAAATTGGAATGATACAAAGATGATTAGCATGGCAAGGCTTGAATCATTTGCATGGATCGAGTGAAATAGAAAGTTAATGGTTTACCAAACACTCATTAAATTTGTAGTTTTGGGCATGTCTGATTTGCTCTATGAATCACATTAAAAAGTTGATTTTGATTTGCAATGAAATTAATAGTCTCTTAGATTGATTTTGATGGGAATCCCAAGAAAAAAATTAGTGTGAATCGATGACTATTGACATAACTACATAACTACTAAAATTAGTTCTTTGCCAAACCATTAGTTAATAAAAAGGTCGAGGCTACCTTGAGATCGTTCTTGTTTGGTGTCACTGATTCACAATGCCCCACCATTGACAATAGAAAGCATGATGCTGAAATCTTCTCTCAATTTTATAACTCTCCAGATTTATTTGATAGTTTTATACTTTTGTTCATACAAAGACAACTTTGACAAACCATTCATGTTTGACTATAATAAGAAAGAAAAGAAGAGAGACGAATGAAAATAAACAAATAAATATATAATTGGTAAGAACAGTCTTCGTACCAAGAAAGCTTGAAAAAGTAGAGAATACCAATAAATCATCATTAATCACCAGACATCTCTGAGGTATCTTCCTTCAGTTTGAAGTTTCTTAACTATAGCCTCTGCCTCTGACGAACTCACACCTTCCTGAAAATTTGTAAAGATGAAAATAGTTGGGTCTCGAACTTCTAAGGAAGTAAACCAAAGTTAATACCTAAATTTCATCTCAATGCTCATTCATACCTGCTCCTGAACAATGGTATGTAGAGTTCGGTGGACATCCCTCGCCATGCCCTTAGCATCACCACATACATAGAGATATCCTTCTTCCTTTATTAGATTCCAAACTTGTGCTGCCTGAACACAGGATAAAATGCAAAAGTAAGGAGATTATTTGACATTCCTTTTCCCAAAGCATGATGCATCCGTCGATATACTTACCTTCTCCATCATCTTATGTTGAACATACTCCTTCTGCGCTCCTTCACGGGAGAATGCAACGATGAGCTCAGATATCACGCCTTGATCCACAAAATTATTGAGTTCATCCTCGTATATAAAATCCTGCAACATACATATAAGCAGTAGCTCAACATGATGACATTGCAAATGAAGAAAGTGCACCGATTATAAAAGTCTCACCATCCGTCGATTTCTACACCCAAAGAATAGCAAAGATGAACCTAGTTCTTCTCCATCTTCTTTTAGTGCCATCCTTTCCTGCAGAAACCCTCTAAAAGGTGCTAGGCCAGTCCCAGGTCCCACCATAACGATTGGAGTTGAAGGGTTGGATGGTAATTTGAAATTAGATGCTCGAATAAAGATTGGGGCTCCACTACATTCATGACTTTTCTCCGCAGGAACTGCATTCTGAATTTTTAAAAACTATTAAAAAGAAAGAAAAGAAACAGTGAATTGGCAGATAGTAAAAAAGAAGGTAAGAAATACCTTCATCCACGTCGAACACACACCCTTGTGGATTCTACCGGTAGGAGTTGGACCATATACTAGTGCGGATGTAACATGAACTCTACTTGGCGCCAATCTGTATTGTGAAAAAAGATAAAAGAGAGATTTTGAATGACAGAGACGCTCAAGAATAGTTTTCCTTCTGCCACAACATATATCTCAAAAATAAATAAATCACCTTGGCGAGGATGAGATGGAGTAGTAGCGAGGTTGTAGACGAGGAGCTATTGCAGCAAAAAATACACCTAGTGGGGGTTTTGCAGATGGAAAAGCAGCCATCACCTCTAAAAGACTTCTCTGACTTGCAACAATCCACTGTGAGTATTCATCCTACAATAAAGAAACCGATGGTATTAACTAATGAAAACTTAAAATCACGAAAAAAATAGATACACCAATGATTTCAGAACCTTTCCATCAGGTGATGTCAGATGTTTAAGTTTTGTGGCTTCACTTGGTTCAGTGGCATACGCCGCCAAAGCAACTAACGCAGACTGAAACCAAAAAGAAACAAGTTAGATATTTGGGAACAAGCAAAGACCAAAGCAACCAGAAAAATCTATGTGATGTGAATCTCAAAACAAACTGATGTTCACCTTTCGAGGAGGGTTCAAAAGGTCTGCGTATCTTGCCAAACCAGTCCCAAGTGTGCATGGACCAGGGAATGGAGGCGGCACTGCGCTTCCCAATGGGGAGCCATCTTCCTTGTCAGCATGTATGGAAAATACTAAATCTAGAGAGTGGCCAAGCAATTTTCCAGCTTCTTCAACTATTTCAACATGATTTTCAGCATATACACCTACATGGTCACCTGTTTCATATCTACAAAGAAATGCCACAGTTTTTATACACGGTTTTCTAACGATGAGCCTTTTACAGGACAATCAACAGTTGACTAAAACATCAAAATCAACATGTCAATATAGAAGCACACACAGAAAACGAATATTATCGCAGAAACCAATACTAAAAATATTCAATGTGAAGGTTTCTTTCACATGACCCAATGCGACTGATATTTAATCACCTATAATCTTTGCAGTAAAACTGAAGAGAAAGATCTACTAGCTGTAAGAAAATAAGAATTTATAGCAAAATTTCCCAGTTCTCTCTAATAATCATATAAAAACAAAGACTCTATGTAAGTTGAGATAACTGGACTGCCATGTAACTAATCCAAGGGCAGGAGGTAATAAATTAAGTTAGAGTTGGATGCTTACGTAATACCCGTCCTGGATATGTCGAACTCGAGATGAATGCAAGACCGATCAGATTCATGTGTGTGAAGCTCCTTCTGCACAGCAACATCAACTCTGTTTGGAAAAACAAACAATTTTTAGAATGCAACCGAAACCGTAATACTATGCTCCAGTATTTATTACATGCATCTTCATATACCTGCAGGGATGATGAATGTCAATAGCAGTATTTCCGTTGGCCACATTTAAGTCCCTTGATTTTTCAGTTGTAAAACTAGGATCATGAATCACCAGCCGGTATTCAGGAATAACAGCTGTATAAGGAGTTGCCACACTTTTATCATCCTCGTCTTTGAGGAGCTTGTCTAGCTCAGACCATAGCGAATCTTTCCTGCAAACCACAAAAAAGCATGAATAATACAGCATGGAGACCCATGCAGGAAACAAAAATTAGCCAAGTCAACTCTGTAGCCTCCCTTCTATAGTAATAGAGTAGAAGGACTAGAGAAAGTCTACCAAAGGAGCCAACAAAAGACAAAGAATCAGAAACAAACCAGGCATTAAAATCATCCTCAATGCTCTGATCATCATCTCCTAGACCGACTTGAATAAGACGCTTTGCACCTGCATCGAATATGATAATACCAGTTACATTTTCTCTCATGCATCAAATGACTAGGAAATCGGCATCCACGTTGCCAGACAGGAAAGAGTAAACATTCAGCATCATCATAGAGCAAATATCTCCGATGGTCATCTCTTTCCAGTATCTAGCATTACCTAGGACTTACAAGTTATGTAAACATAATCATGTACCTTTCTTACAAAGCTCTTCATCAAGAACTATCCCGATCTGCTCCAAGAAAATTACCAACAGATAAGGTCAGAAGAAAATGAATACGATAGACAGAAACAAATTCTCGTCAATTTAACTTATTAAAATGTTCAAACTACCTTATTAAAATGTTCATATTGGCGATTACCAAGAGCAAACACACCATATGCTAGTTGTTGAAGCCTTATCTCCCGTTCATTTTCCTGGAAACATAAAACACAGAGAATTGATCCACTACAAACCTCAGTAAAAAAAGCTACACAGAGCATGTCAAATCAATAGGAAAACAACATTTTGATTTGATATATCGCATTGAGACTACAAACCTCCGTAAACCATTTGTAAAATCTGGCAGCATTGTCAGTAGGCTCTCCATCTCCATAACTAAACATGTTATCAAATAAATGAATCCCACATAATATTGAAGGGCATAAACGAAATCATAATCAGATTGGATAAATCTTACGTAGCAACACAAAAGAATGCCAAAGTTTCCTTCTTCAGTTTCTCTTCATATTGGTCATCATCGGCAGCATAGTCATCCTAATTAAACCCATAACCAGCAAAAGAAAAATTCAATAACAGTAGTTTAAAGTAAACTACAAGAAGTGAATAGAACCATAATGTGAAGTAGTTTAATCATACCAAGTCAATGACTTTGACTGCTGCTTTTTCATATCTCGCTTTGATTTCTTCTGATAATGCCTAATAAATAAAAATGAAACTGATTCTGAAATGACCCGACTCATAAAAGACCAATCTTTGAATAATCACGAGAACATGGATCCAAATTTCAAATTCAAAATATTCAGAGTGGTCACACTACCTTAGCAAATCCCTCAGCTGTTCCAGTCTGCGTACCAAAGAAGATAGAGACTCTGGTCTTCCCGGATCCCAAATCCAAATCATCGTCCTCGTCTTTAGCCATAAGAGACTTAGGGATCATCAAAGGCTTCAGCTCCTGGCTCCGATCCGCCGTCGTTTTCCTCCATAACAACACCACAAAGCCAGCTACTAGTGCCAAAGACGTGGTTGCAATCACAAGTACAACATCGTCCGATATCGAATCGGTCCCTATAATTGACTTGAGCTGCTTAAACAAATCGGAAGCATACAAAGCAGAGGTCATCTTCTTCCCCGTCACACTCTCTCTCTCCAGGGTTTGAGGATTCAGGAGAGATCGAAGAAGAGGAAGAGGACGATGGCTTGGCTCTCTCTCAGAGTTGCACAACCAAAGACGGGGTTAATTGAGTTATCGGTGGTGTGGTGGGGCGTTGAATCTGAGTGGGTCCTTCTCTCCTTTTCTTATTTGACTTTTATTTTACCTTTGTCAATAGGTAAATCAATTTTAATCAAATCAGAAAAAATCTTATAACAAAGTTTTGTTTTTTTCTCTTCATAAAATTCAACATTTTACAAGATTAGCTTTTTTGAAGACTACTAAACTGGAGTTAAGTGTATATAATATGATTTCCTCAACTATTAATTTACTAATCATCGAGTACATGAAAGCTATATATTAAAAGAAAAAAAAAAATCAACAAAAGATTTGGGACAATAAAAAAGGGGAAAGCTAAGCTGCTTTACACATGCAATCAGGAGCTGGATAAGTGTAAATAGACTGTTTCTGTTTGCGTAGACGAAGCTGGCCTTGCCTGTTCCTGTGCCCATTCACTACTGCGCCTTCAAACTCTGACCACTCTAAGCTCTTGTTCACGAAAACCTGTCCTAACAGTATCATGTTGGGTCTTATGGTTTTAAGATTCAAGTAGGCTCTATGTGCCAGCAATGCGTTGTGCATGTTCCCGGGAGATGCTGAGATGAAGATGTCGCTCTTCATACTCACGTAATAATCGACTGCAGCCATTAGAGAAGCTTTCCCTTGTACATCAGCTAGTTCCTCCGCAGAGGCTAGGCTTTTCTTGTTTTCAATCCCAGGGAACAGTTTACGCAGGGTCGAGATTCTTGCCTCTCCTCCGTAAACCTGGTGTGAAGCTAGATAGAGACGGGTATTGTTACTGAAACCCAAAGCTGAAAGCAGTAAACCAATCTCTTCTGGTGTCAACGGGCAGCGCCCTTTGTTTCTTAGCTCCTCATCTGTGAACTGAGAATTTAAGACCCGTCCTTGCCAGATCACCTGGCGGTATTTTGCCAGCGCCAGTTTTTCTGCTTTGCCACCTTCAAAGTCACAGCCTGAATGAGCAGCCATATCCTAAAAAAAAGATGAAGCTATCTCAGAACTAAAAATAACTGCCAGGAAATGGGCACAACTTTTGATAATTAAGACCATACTTTATCGAAACGAAGATGAAGCACTGCAAACTTTCCAGCACCAGCTTTTACAATGGTGTTTATTCTGTCTGTCTGATCCATAGTTCCTGATGTTTGAGAGCTGGAAGGAGGATATCTGAGTCGATGCACAAGAGCGTCCCCTAGCTCCCGAATATGAGGAACAAAGTTTAATGCTTCAAAGTTAACTTTACAGCGTAACCGCTGTATACTTTCAGGCAAATTGTCAAATGCCAAACGGTGAGAGAATGGAGCAACAGCAGCAATGCCATAACTGCAGAAACGAGTGGATGATCCATATGACTAACAATGCGCTGAACTACAGAAAATCTAGTTCCTCAGATAGCGAAAAAAGAATTTGTGACTTGACAGAAAAATCATTTACATGGAACACCCCTTAATATTGTCTGTAAAGCATTCCAAATCATTTTTAATATCATGTTTTCCAGGACTTTACAATGAAGTCATTCATCTGAAAAGATCACTGGGTTTAGAAAGCACAAACCTCTGGATAACAGGTAAGACATTTTCCAAATACCACTCAGCTGAAGCGTGAACAGGCGCAGTCTTAATCCTAGTAGCTCGAATACCTGTGGCGTAATAATCACGAGTGCTCCAGGCATACTGTATTGGAAGCTCCCTAACAATCCGCACCTCGTCTTTAAGGACACTTATAAAGTGACCCAAATCAAATATATCTGTGAAGGAACTGCAAAGAAATGCCAAAGCATGAATCACCAAATTCATCAAGCAACCGGAAACTTAGGTATCATAGTAGAAAGTACCTTGAATCTTGCCAAACAGGATTTACTTCAAGGCGTGGAATCACGAGTGTAACGTTCATTATCTTGGCAACAGCAACAGCATCACATATCTGCAGAAGCAAGCAGAAGAGTCAGAAGGGAAACCACCATAAAACTCTATAACAAACAAGATTTCTACTCACTCCCATTCTTTGTTGATTTAGTCCGCCGTCAAGGAATACCTGAAGAAACCCTTGAGACTTCTCTGGCAAGGCTGTAAAGAGTGACAAACCCATCAATCAAAATACAAAATTTTCAGGGCACATGAAAAGTAAACGATGAAAGAAGGAAACAGCTTTGTCTTTGGAAACTTACGAACGCCTCTATAAGATTCAGTGCAAGGCTTCCAACCTTGATCTGCCAAGGGAGACCACAACTCAACCTGTTGTCTGATCGACTACACATTGGTTCGAGGGAGAAGAAAAGGTTTAGAGGAACGTAGTAGATACATCCAAGAAACTGAGCTAAACCCACTTACAATTTGTCGATCAAGAGCGCCTTGGAGTAGGCGCAAATGTCTAGCCCTTGGGGCATTCCATTCCTGCAAATGCCACACTAATTCTTCAGCTTCACAATCTCAATTATATGAAATCGAAGACACCAACAAAGTAATACTGGTTCCCACAAATAAATCATCGTAGACAGAGAGAGAGAGAGAGAACTGACGGAGAAGAGGGAAGGAGAGGCGCGACCAAGAGGGCGGAAGAGATTCGGAAAGAGAATCGGGAAAAGGAGGACGAAAACACCAGCTAAGGCTGTCCTCTGCGACTGATTAAGGTTCTGTAATGGCTGCTTCATTTGGAGCATCGATTTCAACAATAAGAGTCGAACGATGAAGACAACCCTTATTCTAAACTCAGCGACGAACGAATAAAAGACCAAACTTTGTCCGTGTGTCTCTTCATACAGAGCATGTTTTTGATCCGAAACTCCAATTTGTTGAAATCTGATGTGATACAGGAAAATGATGCATAAGAGTGGCTGACGTGGAGGTTTCTTAAGAGCTGATTGGTGGGAATATGAGTAGTGACTTGGCAAAGGATGATTGGGTGAATCTGAAGTTGGGAGAAGAATGTTGACCAAGTCGTGAAGCTATAAACAGAGCTGAAGATCATTTGTGGAGAATTAACCAGAAAATTGTAAACGTTTGTATCTTCTTCTTTGAATCTATTGTTGTTGCTAGGTTTCTCTCATCTTGAGAGCTAGCGTTTGATCGTTTGGGTGTTTTATGAACATCGAAATGATTCTTTGGGTTACGGATTGTTAATCGGAGTTGTATTGAAGTGAATCGTGAAGTTTACTGTATTAAAGGTATCAGAGCCTTACGATTCTCGGAATCAATGGAGGAAACAAGAGCTTTGACGAAGATGGAAGAAACTGTCGTTCGTGAAGCGGCGGAGACGTTGGGTTTGCGAATAAAAAAGCTTCATCGGAGAATTTCATGGGAAGAGTTTAACGAGAGATGGTTCAAGGGACTTTGTATGTTCTGCGATGAACCGGAGACTCCGGATCACCATCTACATCACAAGAATTCAGGAATTCTGATGATAGATTGTGATGACGATCAAATGTCTCATGACAAAGAATTGGTTGAAACTGAGGTGGCCACAGAATCGAGTGAAACTGATCAAGGAACAGTGAATCATGGGGCAACTGCAGACATGAATTTGGCACTCTTGGAGGAAGAATCGATTCCACAATTTCAGGTACCAATTGCTAATTCTGAGATTTTTAGGAGTAGTGAACTTAGGGAAGCCAATTCAAAGTTGGAAATTCTAGAGTATGTGGTGATGAATGAGAATGAGAATCTAGAGCAAGATAGGGTTCAAAAGTACGTTAATATGAAATTTGAGGTTGATGGTGATGCTGTTAGTATTGCACGCCAAGTGTTTGATTCAATGCCATTGGAAACAAACCTGTTGCGAAATATGATAAGGGAAACATTTTCAAAGACTTGGTGGTTTAAGTTCAAAGCAATGACAAAACCAAGGCTGCCTAGAACAAAATCATCGAATCTAAAGCTGATTTTGATGAAAGAAGAACCACAATCTGTGATAGTAGATGAAGTGACGTTTGAGACACAGCGTTGCAATTTGATTCAAGCCAAGAGGCTGATGCGAAAGACGAATTCGCTCTGTAACGATGAATTAGTCTATGTTCTTGAGGATTTATCATCGGCTGAAGAAACATGGTTCTTAAGTGATAAATCAAAAGACATTCAAGCTGGAAATTTTGTGGACGGTAAGTTGCACTTTGATCACTACAAAGTGGTTAAAAAAAGGCTCCTTCAAAGCCACATTATCCAGCAACGGAGGAAGCTGCATTTGCCTTCTAACTCATGGATGTTTGAGTATAAAAGGGGCCATAAGAAACTACTCAGACCTACCTTGTCCGGAACTGTGAGAATGATTGTTTTTCCAAAAAAGGAAGCAGAACAAAAGATTCATCCATTGATTGAATATGAGTTTCATGAAGCTCCAATGGGAATGAATATTCAGGTCTCTGAAGTTGGTATCAAATCAGTTTGCCAGTTCCCTAGTTTCCACGTTTGGAGGTGGCAAACCAATTTGGTTATGCAACAAGTAATGAGAAACAAAAAGTTCAGGTTTTCCAAGCGGTGGTGGTTCAAGTATAAATCCGTAGAAAAGGGTACTAAGCGACGGCACATTCAGTTGAGGTACAAGTGCATGTTGACATTTGAAGAGTGGTTACGAAGTTGGGGCAGCAGAGAAAGTTGGAGGAATCACAACTTGGAGGCTTCACACATACAATCTAGCTTTGCCTTTATTGATTTCCAGTCTGGTTTTGGTGTTGTTATTATCATTCTTCAGGGAGTACAACAGCAGGGGTGTAGAATTCTGATGTTACACTTGAAGGAAAAAGGGAGATTTAGGCCCTTACCATCATTTTCAAGACTGATTTTGTTGGCGTTGCTCAATCTTTGGTTTAGTAAGGCATATGAAATATCAGGACTGCTGAAAGATTCAAGTGACGACGGGGCTGAGAATTCTCCAGTTCTGAATTTTGTTGCAGAACAACCTCTCTTATGGCTGCAGAACTACTCTAAGAAAATTCACATAGTTTCAGAGCTTGAGAACAAGAAGAAGGAAATATGTTACACGAGTTGGATGTTCAAGTACAAGGCACCGCTAAAGAGCATTCATGACAAGTTGGGAAAGCCTAAGGATCGTGGTGCATTGCTAATACAACAGTTCAAAATCAAGCACAAATGGCGATTTAAACTCTTGCTGTCGATCTTAGCGCTGGAGATATACTTGGGCAGTCTTGTGCTCGTCACTAACTATGCACATCAGTTTCATCGCTTAAGACTGATCATTCTTATGGGTGTGGGGATGTTTACAAATCTGAGAAGCCAACTCCCTCTTTAGCCTTGAGATGAAGTATACAACAACTCTCCCTTGGAAATCAGATTGTTCCCTTCTCTATCAAACCTTGAGGTCAAGGTTTCTTCAAACGGGGAAGATTTGATACAGGAAAATGATGCATAAGAGTGGCTGACGTGGAGGTTTCTTAAGAGCTGATTGGTGGGAATATGAGTAGTGACTTGGCAAAGGATGATTGGGTGAATCTGAAGTTGGGAGAAGAATGTTGACCAAGTCGTGAAGCTATAAACAGAGCTGAAGATCATTTGTGGAGAATTAACCAGAAAATTGTAAACGTTTGTATCTTCTTCTTTGAATCTATTGTTGTTGCTAGGTTTCTCTCATCTTGAGAGCTAGCGTTTGATCGTTTGGGTGTTTTATGAACATCGAAATGATTCTTTGGGTTACGGATTGTTAATCGGAGTTGTATTGAAGTGAATCGTGAAGTTTACTGTATTATGATGGAAACTGGTAACAGAGATCTACGGAACACAACGATCGATATACGACGACAGTTGATACTTCCGGGTGGAGTCTCCTCAGGGAGATGTGACGTCAGCAATTCCAAATATTCTTTTTCCTTTTTGCAAAAACAAATATTTGGAAGAAAAAAATAAGTTATATTTAATATGGTAGCAAATCCTAGGTTCTAATTTCTCAAATGTAGGATTCACCCGCTAATCTCACATCTCATATGTATACCTTTGATCCTAAGGATGAGGTCGTAGCGAGAGACCGGGATATTAGAATTGTTTGTCCCATATCGAAACTTGAGAGATTTGTGAATTAGTATATAATGTGTTATAATGATTTCCGCTCTTGTTCTAGGATTTCGGGAGGAAATAGACTCACTTTCTAATATAGAATCAGAAGCGATGTTAAATAGTTTGGACTAACTCCTTCTCAAATTCTAACTTAAAAATAAAGGATTGCTAAACACTTATATAATAGTCTATAAATATCTCAAGTTTCCATGTGGGACAAACAATTCTAATAGATCAATTATGCATGTACATCGAAAAGTGAAAGCTGGCGACACGGGAATATTTTTCAGGTTATAAAATCTAACTCGACTTGAAAACCTTTTTGTAATTTTGTAGTGCATAAGAAAAGGTTTTGAGAAAACTTAATAATTTCACTATATAGATCACCTTATTTCATTGAGTTTTTAGTAGTTGCTTCTTACGCAACTCTATGGGTAAAATGCACATGAAAACTTTTTTGGTGATTTGCAAGGTTGCTTAAAAGTGGCAGACAGGACGTTTACTCATTTGCTTAGGCCTAAAAGTGTGTTTCCTTGAACGTGAATACATATTTTTGGCCACAAAAAAAAGTTTCTAAAGAGTGAAATTAAGAAGTTTTCTTTTGCGCTATATCAGAAATGAAAACTCTTAGGTTTAAACGAATCAAGAGAGGAGGAAAACATAGTTGTAGAAATCTACATATTTGTTCTTGTAACCCCTCTCCAATATTATATTAATTGTTTTATAAGATCATATGTATCTTTTTTTTTTTTTTTTTGGTAAAAAGATCATATGTATCTTGTTAAGTAAACCGAGTAAATTTAGTCTATTCCGATAAACCGGATATACTATATAAGGTGAACCAAGTAATTAACCAAATACATATGATCTTATATGTTTCATTGTTGTTAATGAAAAGAATCACATAGTTGGACCGTACCTATCATGTTCCTATGATTTAGGATTAATGTTAGGTTGTGAATCGTATACTAGTTTATCTATTTAATCAGTATTGGACTATTGGATGTGTCGCCTTTTAAATGCGCTTTCATATTCATTTCCATTGGATTATCTATACATAATTAGTTTTCATGCAGTCGATAATACTTTGCATGTTAAGCGGACCTATATTTGGTTGGCACTTGGCAGTTTCAAATCTTAACGTTGCATTGCATATATATGACGACAAATTTTTAACCGGATTTTTTTCCTTGCTCGCGTGATTGTTCAAAGGAATATTAATATTGATAGAAAATCTAGAATTTATGTATGTTGATAACTTGATATACATATTGTGTGATTGCGTGAAGTAGCATTCTCTTGGCTGTTCACCAAAGAAATTATGTCTGATTGACTGACTGATTCCATGATGTAGGGCACGGATGATTTGTGCTCCAATCCAGTTTTTTGCTTATTTCCTCAAACTCTTCTCTCGTTTGCTCAATTATTTCAGGGGCTCTAGAGTCTAGTTTTTACATTTTTAATTTCTTTACTTTCCTTATTTCTTCACCCTGAAAAAATAAGTCAACGCATGTTACATTTCGACAGACATTGAAAAACAAAAACATTCTTAAAGCATGTACATGGTTGATACTAATAGAGTATCATTAATAATTTTTTAGTATTAATTTTAATATTTTTTTATTGTTTGAGATTTTTTATGATACCGGTACTAAATATGTTTCTATTGGTGAGACTGGTTTAAGTATCATAAAAAAAAAAAAAAAAGTTTGCAAAATCGAAAATAAATATATAAAAACATAAGATTACAAAAGGTAATATTACAATCTAAAAAAACAAACCTAGAAGCATAAATATTACCCTCTAGCTTAAGGAGTAGTCCAAAGCAAATAATCTATGGTAAACAAAAAGTCCTAAAGTATAAGTAAGAAGAGAGGAGAGTTCCATCACAACACCAAAATTGCTTGAAGAAAATCAAACAGCTCACAGACCAAACCAAAGCTTCTCTAACTAGAGAGAAACCAAATATATCACATGATTAAAGAATAACGTGCACACAATGCTCAAAGCCAGCTCATATCTATAACCATTCAAGTAATACTTTTGTATTGGTCGCAATAAATGCATTTGGAAGAGAAGTCATCATTGGCTTCATGGTCGGTATAGCGTCAGGGAACCTGCATATACAAACAAGAGAATGTAACTATAAGAATGACGCATAATCTACAAGGGAAATTTGGTGTATGCAGATACAACTAGACTTAAGTAAAGATTCAAGTGTATAAGATTTCTGATTTTCTGTAGTCTCTGTGGAAAGATCCCAAGAATCAAATCCATTTGCTAGTTTAAATATGCACAAGCTAATTCAAGCTAATTCAATTCAATTCACTTCAGAACCGATAGACACAGAAGCTATATACACTCATGAGATATGACCATCGAGAGGAGTAAGATAACAAGTCCCTTGCCATGTGATAACGTTTGTAGCAGCAGACACATTTCTTTGATGTAGCTTAGTGGTGAGGTAAGTGATAAGATTCCCAGCAATACCATAGTAAGCTAGCCTCTCACAACATTCATTACCAAGTATAAAAGGACAAGCTTTCCAGTTTCATGTTTTCTCCTTCAATGGTGGGTTTCCATTAAAGTCCACTGAACCATCTTCAACATACAATTTCGCTTCCTAGTTCAACAAAATTGCCAAAGACAACAATAAATTAGCTAACTAAATCAAGCAAAATTTGATCTTTATTTGCAAAACTCAAACATTGGAATCATCACCTAAATCAAAAACGATCAAGAACACTAAGATAAAACAGTAATTACCCAGAAAAGATCTCAATAAACCCAGAATAAAAATGCATAAGATCAATCTAAAGTCAAAAGTTCTGAAATTTCAGCAAAATCAAAATTCGCAAAACCTAATTGATTAACCGAATCCAAGAGATTGAAATTGAACAGACCTGTAATATTAAACATTCTTCGATGAGAGGTCTTGCTTCTTCTTCAATGGAACCCATCGTTTTCGCTTTTGAGCTAAAACCAATTTAGATTCCTTACGTTGAAGCTACCTATCTATCGATACTCTATTAACATGCTATTTTAAACATGAAATCAAAAATCCTGATTTTTTTGTGATTTTAAAACAGAAATCAGAAATCCTAGATCACACAGAAGAAATGGAGAGGTGAAATGGAGAAGAAGAAGAATCGGTGGAGGAGAGAAGGGATCGGGGTTTGAGAGCAAATGATTTTTTTTTCTCTGTAAAAAATACAATCATTGTCCAATAGCAAACTGACACGTCACATGAAACTGGGTATCACAAGTATCAGTCCACTGATACGGATCAGACCCAATTTTTGTGTTTGATCCATTATTAAATAGTTTTTGGGCTAGTGATACCCAAAATAAATCACCCATGTACATGGTCTTAGGATCAGATGGAAATCATAGAGTGTAAAAGTAAAACATTAGATAAAATTAGTGCAACATTAATGAATGAAAACAAAAATGGGAATAAAGAAAAAGAATACGAACAATATAAGATCCATTGTTTTCCCTTTAGTGCAAAACAGTTATAAAAACCAATAACACGTACAATGTCTGAAACTTGCTTCTCTGCAATGCAATGAGAATTCATTCTTCCCATCCCAATTTTTTTTCAATACTTATTTCAAAGGAAAGAAAGGGAAAAGGTAGACTAGACTTAATAGTTTGTGGGCTTCCATCGAAGTCAACTCTGCTGGATCTTTCTCTCTCTCAGGTTCATTCCCAAGATGGAAGCCTAACCAAAAAAAAATTAGTAACATCCACATACAAAATGGTCAATAAAAAGTTTGAAATATATGTTCAGTTAAATAAATTATACCCAAGCTTCAGGGAAGTGTCGGAGTCATCCTCAAGGGGAGCTCCACTGTCGTAGCTTGACACATTTGTGGTCACCGACTCTGTCTCCAAAGCCTCCATAAACGTAATCAGTTTAGCCCTTTCCAACGTTTCTAGCTGCCGATATATAATATACGTTCCCTCATCTTATTTTATTATATATAGGAGAAAAAAAAAAAACAGATTAAGGTTATTAATTACATGATTTCTATAAGGGTTTAGAGCCATACTTTATCCCTCAGTCTCTTATTTTCATCCACCAATTCCGATCCCTGTTTCACTTATTAAGAAAGAGTCACTAGCTATAGATAGGCTTATCATTTCCATTAGTTATTCGAATTGTATGTACTAACCCGTTTCTCAAGTGAAGAAATCTGGCTCATCACACACTCGCCCTATTAATAATTACCAAAAGCAACTAGAGTCAAACTTTTATATATTACATGCCACGTTATGGAAATATGCATGATATTAATAAGTTTTTGTATAGTAGTAAACCTTCTTTTCAGAAACACGGCTAAGTCCGGATTCAAGCAGTTTCTCTAGCCGCTGCAATTCTTCTAAGTTCAATCCATCAAGATCCTCTCCTCTCAGTTTCCTGTTTTACGTTGAATTAATACAACATAATAATCACTTCAAATTTATGAGAATACTTGAAACCACATCAAATACGTACACTCATTTCTACCAAAATATCTTACAGAGTTGTTTTGGACCCAGCTTTGAGAAATAATTACCAAACAAAAATATTATCTACCTATGCTAAATAATGTTGATAATTAAATAAAAATGAGAATAATGACCATATTTGAAAACTACAAAACTCTTGTAAACTTTAGAAGTAGCTCTTAATTAAAATCTACAAACAAAACATCAATTTCCAAGAAACACCAGAACACGACGAACCTACACATGATGAAACGACCTTTTTCCATGATATAGTTTCTAAAACCTATATAAAAAACACTCACACATCATTTGGTGATAAAAAAAAAAAACATTCACACATCATTGTCAAAACATAAAAACCACAAACATGAAATAGTATATCTCTTACAGCTATATAACAAATACACATAAATGGAGCCATACCGTAGCTGCTTGGTTTTGTCTTCGACTTCCTTACTTAGTCTGGAGAGGTTACAATTCTCAAGCTGCTAGATGCAAAGTCAACATTTTCAAAATGCTTAAAGATTAATGATTCTATGCCACATTATGTTTCTATATTTAGACGTACACCTAAACAAATACAACACAAAAGTGTAACAACAAGTAAATATTGGAAAATATTATAGAGAAACGGGTTTGATAAAAAGAGAAGGGTTTGGTCAATAGAGAAGAGTGAGATTGTTAGCCACGAGATAATCGTCTATTCTTTTTAAACCTCTCTATCTTTTAAAAATAGTCAAAGAAATTCTTTAAACAAGCTGCATTCATTGTACATAAGTATTTTTTGAATAAATTTTACATTCTATTCAAAAAAAAAAAAAAAAAAAAAAAGAAGAGTGAGTGAGTGATTTTGAGAATACCTGGAGATGAGTAGAAGGTGGATCCATCAATCTGTTGATGTTACTTGCATGAAGACTATACCTTCCCAATATGTCTCTCATTCTACACGTTTCAACAAACAATCCATCTTTCATATGAACCTTTCCTTCGTCCATATTTACATTTGCAAATATACTAGTAAAAGCCTTTTTCAGTTATAATAAAAGAAAAAATAATCAGAAGTACCCATCATGATGCAGACAATATTTATTAGATAACTCTGTTCCCAATTATGGTAAAGCTTCCCAAGATAAACTAAACGACTGGTTAAGACTTAATCCCCAATCATACCAGTGACAGTGTCAAAGACATTTGTAATACATAAAAGTCAAATGGAAAAAAAGGGAAAAGAAATTCATTCTAATTGTGGTAAGTACTATGTATCCATATATACATATGCTTCCAAAATTAATAACCATGAGTCTAAATGAAAATCATTGAAAAATTCAAAGTTAATAACCCATAATTATGTTTCAGAAAAGTTAAACGCAATTAATTACATTATTTGTTAGAACATAAAAGTGATAAATAGAAACATAAACCCTAGTATTTAATTAGGTACACAAAGGAATGAGAGCAAGTATAATAATTTAGGTCTCACATTATGCAGAAAAACTGAGTCGATTTCGTACATGAGATCTCCGAGCCTAATGATAATTAACTATTGAAAGTAAACAAGAAAAAAAGAAATCTCATTTAAATACATATATCTTAATATATTTCTCAAACCATATTCTAGAGAATACCTTGAGCTAGAGAATTCGAAGAGCTTTCCAGTGGCAGAGAAGATGATGAGAGCAACATCAGCATCGCAAAGAACTGAAAGTTCATCGGCTTTCTTAAAGATTCCTCTTCTTCTCTTAGAGAAAGTAACTTGTCTCGCTGTTATGTTATCAATCTTCTTTATCCTTATCTTCTCTCTCGCCATTTTACCAGATCTCTTTCACTACTGTTCTTGAATCTTGCCTACCCATAACACCATTTAGAGAAAGAACAGAGAAAGAAACCAAGTGGAACATTGGTTAGCAAAAGAGGGTTTAGATGATATTCTCAAGAAACCCTAGATGGGTAGAGAGAGAGAGGGAGAAAGAGAGATCAGATCCAGAAACCATGAGAAGCAAAAGAAGGAACAGGACTAGATGAATCCATCAAACACTTTGCTTAAGAAGAAAGAACACAGATTCACAGCTTTTAATTACCTTTCTTTGAATATCTTGGATTAGGTTTTGCAATCTCAGCACCTACTTTATTAAATTCGTGAGAAGATAAAAAAAGGTTTTTCTGGTAGCTTTTGATTCCCTAATGTGTGAGTGAGAGAGAAAGAGAGAGATGGTGACTGTGTATGTGTGTTCAAGATTGGAAAGACGAGTCTGCGTTTTTTAGCTAAACAGTGATCTATACTTATCAATGGGCCCATACGTTTTGTTTTGTTTATGTCATTTTCCCAAACTAAAATTATTAAATATACACATAAACCACTTTGTGTTTTGTCTGACTGAGCTGCCAGACGAAGAGACTGCTACAGTTGTGATATTAATAATTCACCTAACCTTCTAATTCATTTAGTCTGCCATGGAATAATGTGGAATTGTAACTTTATACAGTAGCGGGTTTCCTAGTTTTACTGTTTTAGTCTAGTTTGAATAATTCCCGATCTAAAAACAAAATAAAGATAAAATGACGTGAATACTACTCCGTATAAATTAATATACTATTTACTTATAGCTAGGTCAAATAATATGATACATATTACCCAATATCAAAAGGGTAACATGATAGAAATCACAATACACAAGGAACTACCAATTCTAATAGAAAAAAAGTTTGGTTACTTTTGTTATTCGTAATTAGAAGATGCTGTTCATCTACCTTTTTGGTTTTGATTTATCACATAAATGGTGTCTATTAAATACTTTTCATCCCCTTTTTTTAGTCTTTCACCTATATATATGCAAGATGCGACACCTGATAAGATCACTCGTCTCCCACCATCATCATTATCTTTTATTTTGGGTTTATCAGCCATTTATACCCTTTAAAGTATAACCCTAATTAGAAATGATATATCTCTGGTAACTCTAGGGTGATATCAATGGCAGACAAGTAGTCTTGTATCTTTTTTTCTTTTCCAAAGTGCTACTAAAAATTAAATTAAAATTAGAAAATTCGTGGGCTACGTACCATCTCAATATCTCATAATATGATACATGTGAAAAGTAATATCGATGACTTTAAGAATTCGTTTGGGCAAAAAATCTGTATAAGATTAAGCTCTTTAAGACTAAAACAAATAAGCACTTTAATGTGAGAGACGGAATTAGTTAGATTGTAAGTCAAAAAGTGAGAGTTTTTGGTGTAGATCACTGTTGTTGGCCTTTAGGATCTTACTATAATAAGAGCATGATTATTGGTAGTATTTTAGAAATACCTCTCTTAACAATATTTAAGTAATATATTTGTAAAGTGATAGTTAAAAGATAGTTTTTTTTGTGTTAAGATTTTTGTATGGTTAATAGTAGGCTTTTAACATGTGGTTCTTAGAAAAAAAAATATTAATATAAAAATAAAATTTATAATTATAGAAAACTTAATAATTGTTGCAAATTAAAAAAATTAAAACATACATGAGATACAATTTATAACATAAATAACATAAAGCACAAATGTTTTAAACTTAATTTATGGAATATTTTGTCCATATATACTCGACCAAATCGGCGTCTAAATAGATTAGGAGGGAAAGTTGGATTTTCTGCGAAATAGTCGTTCCATAACTGGATGTGTCCTTCTTTTGTTTGTTTTTTTTTAACCAATCACAATGTGACACCTTGCAACATCTTAAGTTAAGAAAAACATTTTAACTTAGATACAAATCTTAGCTTTAAGATGTTGGTTTGATTACTTTTAATCAACTTTAATCCTAAGGGCATCCGCAGTAGTGTATCCTTGCGTGGGGTGTATCTATTTTAAAATACAGAAATAATGTAAAAGTTGTCTCTCTCTTCACACCCGGGTGTAAGTTTACACTCGGGTGTAAGCCACTCTATCTCTCTCTTTCTTTCTCTCTCTTTTCTCTCTCACTTTAAATTATAATAATAAAAAAAATCTTACACCCCTCCCTCACACTTACACCACTGCGGATGGTCTAAGATGTGTTTAAGATACTCAACATTTCGACGGATATTCATGTTCAACTAACAGAGACAGGGGACAAGCTGAGAGATTCCCAAGGTCATATAAATGTGAAACTAGACACTAATAAAGTACTAATAATTGTAATTGTGTTCAAGAAGTATATATTTTCAAAAAAAGCTTAGACTTAATTGTTGTTGACCCTTGTTAACATTACCTATATATCTTGTGTTTCTTACTTGATCAGTCTAGAAAAAGAAAACTCCTAAACCTTTCATTTGGAATGCTTGGTCATCTTGTCAGCCCTCTAGGCTGCATATCTCCCGACTGCTCGATCCCGAAAGTCTTCACTACTAATTTGCTTTCAAGGCCTTCGTTGTCTGCTTAATCCTCAAAGCCTTGATTTACTCCTCTCTGACTTCCAAATATAAATTATATGTATGTACCCTGCAAATCAACTCACATTTTGCTTCCTCATAAACGATGATCTTTTTCTCCTATAGCACTACTCTCTATTTCCTTAAAACTCATAATAGTTTAAAAATTTTAGCACCAGGAAAATTAAGATAATTTCTGTCCAAATAGTATAATATATTATATCATACATATAAAAATACTAGAGATACCTTAAAAGAAAAAACACTAGTGATATAAAATTTGATATGTATTATTTGATACAACATTGAATATTTATTGTTGTGCAGCTCTAAAAATTCCAAGATAAAAATCGAGAGGATTTGGGCCATATTGATGTCCTAAATTAGGCCCATAGAAGAACAAGAATAGATTCTCAAAAAACACAGAACCTGAAGAAGCTTGACGATAACGACGGCAATTGGTAAAACGTGAACCACCTCACCACACACAAATACGAGACCGATCGGCGATCAGTAGACTCAACCAAACTCGCGGTGAAACAGTCGGATTCCACCGCTAAGGAACGATGATGATCTCCCAATTCTTTGTTTTATCTCAGCGAGGAGATAACATCGTCTTCCGTGACTGTAAGCTCCATTTCTCTCTCTCTCCGATCTGATCCTCTCTGCTTCTTCCTGTTTTGCTTTTTTTCTTCAGAGCCGAGACTTATTGTCACTGTTTCGTGAGATTTTTCCATTGAAATCTGCTCTAAGCTCATTGATCTGTTTGATCTATCAGCATTTTATATCCGATGACATTTCTGTTGAGCTGAATTTCCAAATCAGATTGTACAATATAACACAACTATTCAGTTAGTTGGGGAAGATGAATTTTCTGGAATCCTGCTGTTCACTAGATATCTGGAATTCGTAGTTTTTCGATTTTCCGGAGAAATCCCATTAGAGTCTCTGTATGTAATGTAGTAGAAGAATTGAGCTTATGCGATTTGGTTGGATCCGCTATAAATTTCAAGTCGTGTAACGTTTTATTGCCGCAGACCGGGCTGAGGTACCGAAAGGCAGTACAGAGACTTTCTTCCGTAAAGTCAAGTTCTGGAAGGAGGATGGCAATGCAGAGGCGCCACCTATCTTTGTAGGTATTATTCTTTCTGTTTGGTTCTGAGCTGTAATGGTTTCATCTAACTCTTGTTTTTGTGTGATTATAGAATGTCGATGGCGTGAACTACTTCCATGTCAAGGTTGTTGGTCTATATTTTGTTGCGACTACGAGAGTTAACGTGTCACCGTCTCTTGTTTTGGAGCTTCTACAAAGGATTGCTCGTGTTATTAAGGATTATCTTGGTGTTTTGAATGAAGATTCATTCAGGAAAAATTTTGTGCTCGTGTATGAGTTGCTTGACGAAGTTATTGTAAGTCTCGTCTTGATTTATTTCTCATTATTAGCAAGTATATTTCTATATAGTAGCTATTTTTGTATCGTTTCCCTATTTTGATATTTTTATTAAATATGACTCGGTGCTCTTTTGATTAGGATTTTGGTTACGTGCAAACTACATCTACCGAAGTTTTGAAATCCTATATATTCAATGAGCCAATTGTGGTTGCTCCTGCCCGCCTTCAGCCCATCGATCCTGCTGCCATTTTCACAGTAAGATTGATTTTATTTTTCCTCCTCCTGGTATATGTGACTGACCCCTTGAATTAATGCTTTGCAGCAAGGAAACAAAAGAATGCCTGGAACTGCAGTTACAAAATCGGTTGTAGCTAATGATCCTGGGGGTCGGAGAAGAGAGGAAATTTTTGTGGACATTATCGAGAAAATCAGTGTTACTTTTAGTTCAAGCGTGAGTAGTTACTTTTTTCTAGTTTATTATATCAAAAGTACAGAAGTCTTGGCATGTTTTCTTCTTGCCATATTAAACCACCCATTTCTGCAGATCAATGCTGTGTTTTATGTCCTAATATATGTAGTTGCATCTTAATGTTTTTTTCTTGATGGAAATTATCCATAATCTTATCTGATTTCTGAACAGGGCTATATACTGACTTCTGAGATTGATGGAACCATTCAAATGAAGAGCTATCTTTCTGGTAATCCAGAAATCCGTTTAGCTCTTAATGAAGACCTAAACATAGGAAGAGGAGGGAGATCAGTATATGGTATTTCTTGGTTCATATCAACTTTATTATATTTGGAAGGAATCAACGTCATATTCTATCTTGTCTCTCTCTTTGAAATCTTGGTGCCTATTTCTGTGACATTCGGCGTTGAGAATGCTTGAAATGTCAACTAAGCTGCATGTTTCCACTTGCAAGCTTCGCTTATAAGTCATAACCGGATTCTTTATTATATGTAGCTACTCCTGTAGCATTTTTCTGCCTCTTTGAGGCACATCATTATCAACTGGGAATTGATCTAGTAATACAGTCTAACCCTTGGTAACATCACAATTGAAATGTTGCAGATTATAGGAGCTCTTCAGGTTCAGGGGTGATACTTGATGATTGTAACTTTCATGAGTCTGTTCGTCTGGATAGTTTTGATTCAGATAGAACTTTGTCCCTGGTAAGCTTCAAGAAATTTACTACAGAAAACATCTTGTAGCATATTGTTTTGCTCTCTAACTTGCGTTCTGTTTTCAGGTTCCACCGGATGGTGAATTTCCAGTAATGAATTACCGTATGACCCAGGAGTTCAAGCCTCCTTTTCATGTTAATACCTTGATTGAAGAGGCCGGGCGCCTTAAGGTGAAATTTCATGCGTACACATTTTCTGAGTCAGATGAAAAACTATAGAAATTTCTTAATTGCTCTATAAATTTTTATCCCAGTGCTTAAGTCGTATATTTTTTGCTTGCTGAAATTTAGGCTGAAGTGATTATTAAAATACGAGCTGAGTTCCCTTCAGACATAATCGCAAACACAATTACTGTTCAGATGCCATTGCCAAATTATACTTCCAGGTTCATAACTTTTCGATTTGTTTGTACAAGTGAATTACTGAGATACGTGACAAAGATACTACAATGATGTAATTTCTTAAATTCCAGCCAAATTTTGAATCACACAAGAGATAGATTCAACGAATTATGTTTGTTGTGACAGGGCTAGTTTTGAGTTAGAACCCGGTGCGGCTGGACAGAAGACAGATTTCAAGGAATCCAGCAAAATGCTTGAATGGAATTTAAAGAAGGCAAGTGTTGAATCTCTCACGTGGTTTGTTAGTTTAGGTATATTGAACTGGATTTTGCTTTGATGAGCTAACTGTGGTGTTCCAGATTGTTGGCGGGGGTGAGCATACACTGCGTGCAAAGCTGACATTTTCACAGGAATTTCATGGTGACCCTCTAAGACAAAAGTTTTTCATCTTTGTTCTCTCAGGGAAAAATAAAGCATCACTGAAAATTCTCAAATTTCGTTTTAGGTAATATCACAAAGGAAGCAGGGCCAGTCAGCATGACGTTCACGATACCTATGTACAATGTTTCTAAACTTCAGGTAAGTAATGTACCGATTCTTGTATTACCATTAACCGTCCTCTTCAATCATCGTTAATGAATTGGGTGATGCAGGTCAAATACTTGCAGATAGCAAAGAAATCAAGTAGTTATAATCCATATCGTTGGGTGAGATACGTTACACAGGCCAATTCATATGTGGCTAGGATATGACCTGCTTTCAGATAATGGTTGTCCCTCACTTGTATGTCTAAGTACTTTCTCTTTACATGTTCGGAGCACACTTGCTACACAGTACTGTGTTGAATGTTGTCTCTTCTATTTGGATACTTTCTTGTTTTGGTATCAACATATATGCTTTTATTGCATCCATTGGGAATTTTCATTGAATTTCTAAGGTCTGGACTGAATCCAAGAAGTTCTGCAAATTGCAAAAGAAATAAAGGTGCAACGATGAGATAATATTTAGCTTAGCTTTATTGATTGATTATAATAAAAGTCAAAACAACTTATTAACAAAGGTAAATTCCGTTCCATTACGTGATACAATTTCATGGGCAAAATCTCTCTTCCCCACTATACACTACTATATACCACCACTTCTCTCATTAACCACTTTCACCAAGCCTAAATACGGGTTGTTAATAAAACCACTCCATCTACGTGTAATCAAATCTACTTTCTTCTACTACTTTGACTTAGTTGGGGCCAGTGGACAAAAAACCATCGTTGTTTCCCTTACCTTTCTCCTCCCAAGGGCAACTGATGTCTTGAGGTTCCGTAAGTTTCTAGAGATGAACGACTGAGCGGCGAATGCCTTGTAAAGGGAGGAGAAGACGAGGAAGACGATGATGTTGGTGAGGGAGCCTCAGACTGTCCGTGGGCCCGTCCCTGATGATCTCCAAAAATGAAATCAGCAAAGTCGTCCATGCTTGTACTGTCTGTGCTACAAGAGCATTCATCTGAGTTGCTGTCAAAGAGAGATGAACTGTCACTCGCCGAGTCATCTTCTAAAATTTTCTGCAGCCTCTGGAAACTGGAATAAAATGACTGTATATTGCCTGATCGACCACCGGGCGTGTTGGAAGACAAAACAGGACTTGAAGTAGACACAGACCGTGACATGGATATGGTACTTTTCTCTTTAGCCTTAGGTACTGGCACTCTGCTTCTTTTGTTGGTTGCTTCAGTTTTGGTGCATACTGCTAATTTTGGAGGCATTGGAGTGCACCTGCAGGCAATTCATTCGATATGTGCTATTAGTAACCAGATCTAGCATAATCCACAATCTTAGAGTGTCAGAGATGCATTATGATATTATTTACCTTGCGTAGAACAACATATACGCTCCCTTTGTCATGATCCTTTCAACATCCGAAGTTACTACCTGCAAATAATCAATGCACAACAGAGGAATTAAACATTGAAATTTTCTTCAAAATTATATACTAATACTTATCCATTCAAACTAAGAAACTCATCATTGAAAAAGAAGAAGCATAAAATTGTAAACCTAAAATGCTGTAACAGAAGTAAGAAACTACTAATTAATTCCAAAGTTCAACAAATAACAAAGTCAAGTAAAAAGGGAACAAAAAATAGAGCTTACTTAGAAACTAATTCACAACCAACTTTCCAATGATAATATATGAGAAACTTACCGTGCTATCATCAGCCTTATACCACTTATTTTGATTTCTAATATAGCAGACATAGTGGCCAGAAAATGCTGCATTCATTATATCCAAGTGAACAATAACTCCATAGAGTTTGTAGTCATGTGATTTTTCACTTCCCCCGCTGACATATGGAGCCAAATCTAGAGTTTCTGGAAACCTGATCAACTTATTGAGCTTCCCGAATTTCCCTGCCTTTAAGAATTAAGTTTCGCAAATTGTGAAAAACAAGAAAACACAGATGGAACTCAACAGAAACAAACCGGGTAATCATTGAAGATATAGATTACCTGGAATCGTTTTAGTGCAATGGTAAGGACATTCGGAGGATCTGTAATTTTCAGCTTCTTTTTGGCTCTCTCATAGGATTTACAGCTGCTCACAGGGAAAAAAAAATTGAGTAAGCACCCATCAACCATCAAATGTAAACTCGCACTTAAGATCAAATGTAGTTACAGAACAGGTTACAGGTGATTGGTTAGAACTACGCAAATGAAAGACCATGATTGTACTACAAAATAATTCTGTCTTCATAAGCTAGAGGGGAACTTTATTGCAGCTGGTCGTGGAATCTAGGTATTGTAATTAAAATTTATGATAGGGAATACTTTGGCTGGCCATAAACTCTATTTCAGCTAGCCATAAACTCTATTTCAGCTAGCCACAAGCTCTATTTCAGCTGCCCGTGAAATTTAAAACAATTAGTATCCTACCCACCTCAGAACCATATATAAAGCTAATGTGAAACTCTATCCCCAGAACCATGAAAAGAGACTTGGAAATATCAAAGGACCACACGAAGTTCAACACATGGAAAGGAAATGCTGACCAACCTGCCACATCTGTATTTATTGTCTCCATCCAATATCTCAGTCCTTGTAAATCGACGCAAAGCATCATCCAGGGTGCTAATATCTCCATCAATCTCAACCGTTAGATCCATCATTTTCTCACGCAGCTCAGATTTTACTTGACATTTCATGCATTTAATCTGGCAGAGATCATAAGTACTAGGATTACAACTTCCTCCAAAACAATGTAAAAATGAGTAAAGTAGAAATGTAGTAGGTGATGATACTTTTGATCGGAGGTAACCCCCAAATGTCAAACCAATAAGAGTTGTATCTTCTAATTTGCTACTCTTGGGCATATCATATTCAGATGCCTTAATGCACACAGACTGCATTGTATCGACAACAAACCTGCAAATTGCAAGAAAAAAAAAATGGTAAGGAAAATGAAATTAATAGAAGATCTTCCAGTTATAATATAGATATGCATCAGGTTTTGCTCGATTTCAGAAATGTCAGTTCACCTAAGGAATTCATGTGCATCTTCTTCCTTGCCATTCCCAAGAAAGATTCCAATATTCTGTAGCTGAGATAGCAAGCCATTAGGGGACAGTGGAGACTTCCCTTCCTTTGCCTTCAAGACCAGCTTCTCAAATCCACAGGTGAAGCACTGTTCTTTTTTTGTACCTATAGTTAAACGACCTATTAAAGGCTTGATATAACGATGATAATAAAAAATAACCTTCCAATAAGTAGCATATATCACATAAAAAGGAAAAAAAACTTAGAACCAGTGACGTACATGCTCTAGAATGAAGTTGCTGGAGGAAGTATGTCGTCAGAGGAGGAGTGAACATCAGGCATTGGAAGACAACATTAGCAAAGCAGCTGCAAGAAACAGAGTATATTCTTGCATCAGCGAGTGTGAGCTAAACATTATTAATATTTTTTACACCACAAGCTGAAGATTATAACAGCTAAAAAAACATGCATTTCTTCAGAAAGCATAATCTCCAGAATTAAAAAAAGACTAGAAAAAGAAGAATTGGGATTACCTATTGCCAACGTTGATGAGGCCACAAGGCTGGAACTCAATTTTATTTGTATACAGCTTAGCAAAGACTTCATATGGAAAGAGCCCCTGCATGTCACCAAAAGATTGATAAGAAAATAGCTGTGCTGCTTTGTTAATGTAGGAAGTCAGTGTTGCATAATGATGATAACATCCTAGAACTCAGTGATTACCTTATGACCATGTCTTCCTGCCATCTCATTTTCAGACTTCGGTCTAGTCCACTGGTCTACAACTTTCAGTACTGATGCCTTCAAACCACTTCTTCCATTTAGAGAACTTATACGGTGAACGGCAGCACCATTCTGTTTCTGATGATCAAGAACTCTTACAGATTTTGCACCTAGAGGAGAATGTTTCATAAGATCAGCACACTCCTTGGTATTCGAGGCCTTGGATGCCAAAAGTTGGACTTCCCCAACCTTCAAAGGGGCCAACATACAGCCATTTTCACTACTGGCGCTCTTTAACTTCTGAAGGGTCACATGGGGCAAATTAGAAGTGTCCAAAGGACTCGGCGCATCAGTAGAAGAGGAAGTTGGTAAGGCAATTTCAGCTTCATCAAATATTTTAGCATTTCTTTCTTTTAGATTATTACCAGTCCCTAATGCAGCACTAGGAGCTTCTTTTAAAATGCTCCTTTTGTGCTCAGAAACTTTAGCAGCTGAGGTGTCTCTAGAGGAGCCAAAGGAGAAATGCAGAGAGGAGTTACCAGGTCTACCAGATTTAGATTTATCACAAGACTCAGTTACACGTTCTGCTGATCCAAGAGCCGTACCCCAAAAATCAGATGACTTTAGAGGAGATGGGTCAGTGGATACTGGGTGCCTATCCGTAACTAATGAGTGTAAGCTCCTTGATTGGCTCTGGTTCTGCCCAGTATCACCCCCAGGCTTATGTACACTTAATTTAGGCAGATTAGCGAGGTTATCTACAGATTCAACCAAGTGCACAAATTTAGGAGACAACAGTTTGGATGGAGCATCATCGATGGTGCTGAAACAGGTGTCTTCTGGCTCTACAGAGACATGAGCATCAAGTAGGGACTCTGATCTCTCGGATTCAGATGAACTAAAGCTCTCACAAAGAGAAATCTCATCACCAGAGTCATTACGGGGGGAGGAGGAGAAGCCAGAAAACGAGGATCCAGATGTTTCAGCAACAGAAACAGCTTCTTCCTTATCTATAAGGTCATCTTTGTTATCTGCAATATCTCCATTCCCATCTTCAGGAGATCTGGCAGGATTAGATAATATTGTTTCCCCGATTGGTATAATAACTGGTTGTGGATCCAGCAGTAAAGTTTCCTCAAGAGTATTCCGTTCATTCTCTTCTCTGAATCTCAAATCAGAATCACTTTTCTCATCTTCACTATCATATACAATGGAAGCAGGACGACATTCATCTTTGTGACCTTGCCGCCAGTGAATGATTTGACATTTCCCGGAACTGGAAAAAGAAAGAACAAATTAAGTTCCAATGTAACAACTATCACTAAGACATGTTGGGAACGAAATTTCACATAGGTTGAAAATTTGACAGACATTATAGTACATTTCTTAAGCTATCTAATTGAAATAATTTCCTCAGCAGCACATAGTTCCTCACAGATAAGCCATGAATCAAATACTACACTTCCTCCCAAGCTAACTAATTACCCATAATTTTGTTAACATAGAAAAAGAAGTCACTTTTCTTAAATCTCTGATCCAGTATTGCTAAAGTTACAGAGCTACCTCATATTCTTTCCCTACTAATCACTCCAATTCATCACGTCACAGCAGAGAGTGGAGATGCAATCATAAGATCATACAACTTAGTTTGGACAT